TAAAACTTCAAAGGCAAAAGGATGTTATTATTTTACATTTCCTTCACTTAATCATTCTGGTAAGGTAACCAAGAGAACCAAAGCAATCTGTAAAAAAGCGAAATGCAAACTCTGATGCATGATGTAGTATCAGAGATGGCCTAAGGCCATGCAGGTTCAAAGATAAAGGCTCTCCGAGGACTGGCACCCAATTTTGTTTTCGGGCCGGATGTCGTGAGCTCGTCCGCACTACACTGGACCAATGGCGCAACGAACAACGCCTGCTGCACCGAGTCGAGTGAATAATTGCCACACGTCAACCGATGTCCCAACGTGAGTCGGCTCCCGGGGGCACTGGGAACTGTCGAAGCTTCGGAAAGTCCAGCCGACTGTGTTGACGAAAGGTCGCCACCAAAACTCTCCCGACGATATCTACACCCGACCACGCCTGAGAAGATTCCACAACCCTTCGCGATTTATATGTCAATATTCCAAGGCATAAGGCAAGTTCATTTCCCTAAACGTCTTTCAGACGCATAATATATGCGATTAACAGCGCAAAATGACTGTGGTTCATCTGGGAAATGTCAGAAGAGATCATTTCGCAATCTAATTCGATTATCAACGGTGTTTAATTTGAAGCCAAGCTGGAAATGGAATGATTTAGCTCAGGATATCAAACATTCAAACCAGGAAGCCGCGAGTGGTGGTGACAATAATTTCAGTTATAAATCAGGATCAAATCCAGCCAAACGCTACGGCTCTGAAATACAATTGCATCACAACCATGATGAGAGTTGACATAAACTGGCTGCCGGTCTGCTACATGATATATAATAGCAGCATACCTGATTACAAAAGAAAACAGTTTGAGCAAATGAAACTTCTCGGAGTCGGAACCAGCAAATCGTCCAAGACGGCCCATCTGCGCTTCTCGAATAACTCGTCTAGCATCACCAGCTGCGTTGCTTTGTATCTTTGTAACACACGGAACAGCTCCATGGGACCAAGCAACGTTCAAAGTCGTGCAGCCGTGAAACACTTGCTTCACTCCGCCGCACCGTGAAACACTAACCGTCTGCTGTCCCGCCGAGCACGGGCGCATTGCGGTATATACAGTCTACCTCCCTGCAGCGTCCGCCGGCCGCCGCGCCAGCTCGGCTCCCGACATCTCTAAACCATCACCATCAGCGTTGTCTCGCAACACACTCCGGGGAGCAGCAGACAGGCACCAGCCCGTATTTTCGCCACCGAGATGGCGAGTAAACGAACCGATGGCCTCTGCGAGAATTACCTCACCCGGAGGTCACAAACACGTCGACAAAGCCCGCTGGCGACGAGACGACCGACCCACCTGCCACCGCGTCGGCCGGGACGAGGCGAGAGCTCAAGGAGACAGTCGCTGAACGGGTGCCGACAATGAACACAGCGAAGAATCAAGTATGTCATGTCCGTCGGTGAAATCGTAAAAAGAAATACAAGTTGGCAAAATCGTTGAAGAGCACAGAGCGACGGTGAACGTTGCAGCGAATGCGCTGTAAATGCGGTACTTGAGGTGCAATTGATATTTTTTTAAAGTCGTTTGGTTGGCATTCACAAGCTTACCAAATTTTGGCGTGTCTTCTTTGACAGTCCTATTAGCGTATTCATAGACCAGTGACATTGCTTTAAAAAACTGCAGCCTGTAGCAAAGCAACGCAACCAGCCTTGCATAATGCATATTTTCCTCGAACATAACGAAAAATCAGCAAAGAAATTAGACCAAAACACACGAAGAACTTGCTTGCTTCAGCTTTCCCTTATGTACTTAATGTTCCTCGCGTAACAACAGGTTACGTGAGGGGCACCAATCGATTTTCGAGGCCAATTCATGAATACGTAGTCCGCGTGAGTCGCTCGTGTAGCGTACGTAGTGCGGCACGCTTGTGTATACATATTCCATGAAGTGGCAGGTAGCTATTCACTGTGAGCGATACCGCCAATCACGGTCTAAAAATACGCGCTACACGATACAGTGCAGTGTAGATTCTCACTGCACTGCCAAGACCAAAATGGTGCAAATATTCGTTGCTGTAGAATAGGAAAACTTTCCCATCTAGGGGTTCAAATACGTATTCGTTTTAATATCATCGCACGGAACACGGAACAAACCATTTAAGCACATCCAACTTAAAAAGAAGCAAGACGCGGAATCGCAGATCTCATCACTAGAGCTGACTCAAGGAAAATAAGATAAAATCTTGAAACATCCGAAATAATTATCGTTAAAGCGAGCATCGTACAGGCTTTGAAGAAAAAACAAAACCAAAGTGGACGTAACGAAATTCTCTCCAGACTGAGAAATAAGAACGCTGAGCTGGCGCCCAAATATGTATAAGTGGCCAAACGAGAAGAAAAACAGCGTCTTGGACGAACAAGGATAACCTCGCCTTAGCTGGTTCGTGGCCGTGGCTTTTCGCACAGCGGTAATCCGGCTGTGTGATGTCAAAAGTCAAAATGTAAAAATGCCCGTGGTGTCCTTTGCCCCAGTTTGACACAGCCTACCACCCGTTTCCTCAGTTACACAGCCGGCCGTCCGTTGTCTCAGAGTGATTCAGCCTGCTTCGTGCCTCATGGAAATCCATCCCTTCACCCGTTGCCTCTGACCGCCGCGACGCACTTTGTTCCACTGCCTCTGTGTCTCGCTGAGGCCGGAACCGGGCCTCGTCCGCGGTGACTGATGGCCGCAGCTCTGGGAGGTATCGTGAGCTCGCCGCCAGTGCTGAACACGCAGCGGGCACGTGACACGCTCGGTCCGCCCGACGAGCACCCATCTACATACAGAGGCCGGTCACGATCCGCCGGCTGAACATACGGTCCGCCAGCGGAACGGTAGAGAGGGCCGAGCGTTGTCTGAGGTGGAGAGGGTAGAGCATGGTGTTATCTAGAGAGGGCAGGGCATGGTCTGAACTACAGAGAGTAGAGCATGGTCTGAGCTGGAGAGGGTCGAGCGTTGTCCTAGCTGGATAGAGCATGGCCCGAACTGCAGACTTACAGAGGGGCGAGCACATCCGAGATGTTACTCGCCGTCAGACCTTTCGCTTGCGATGCCCATGATCTTGGCGGTCTTCAATAAATAAGTACGCAGTGGCTTTGAATAACAAACGCGCGAACACCATTCAAACTCGAATATAAACATATAACGTAACTAGAGAGGATTCATACGAGCAGAGCAGCCAATAAGCTCCAGCTCAAGAGGAATAAAACATGCACTACGGAAGCATGCACTGCTAAAGGTAACTGCAGACTTCGTAAACAAGACGGTAATGCCAACTCGGCACACGTAATGCCATCATCTTTCTTTCTGTTAGAAGCCAGCACTCTAGCCGTCCAGCACCAGAACTAGTCCCATCACCCAGCAGCTCGCAGTCCAGGACAGTCCCTGTGCTCTCTCCGACCTCAGCAGCCACCGTCCTCTGTCTGCCAGTCCCAGCATGCACCGCGAACGTGACACTTGCCCGGCCCTATGCGGCGCAGTGAGGCCATTAACCCTAACGGGGCCGCCCGCCAACGGTTCCTATTCACGGTACACGACCGCCGCCTCGACAGCCAGCGACCCGACCGACTCTCTGGCGCCGTCCAGACCCGCCGACCTTCGGCGACCCGACCCCTGACCTTCCAGTAGGAGGTCATTACCATTCTTCCGAGATACCGGGTATTTGATATTGCACCGATAAAGTGGGGTGATTCGGAATCGCCCAGCCAGGCAGCATAATGGCATCACCATGTGACACCACTAGCGGGGAAACTATTTCAAATGCGCCGCAGCTGATGGCCAAAATAGATGCTGTCAGGAGAATGACTTGCTCCGGAATGTGTAATTTGAACGGAGGAGAGCAATATTCGACAATATTGTCGAACGCTAACGGATGGGGCAATATAGCGAGTATGTCTACATTGTCTTATGCTTAAAGTGTTGTAAACTTGTCAAATAGCTGGAAGAATTTGAAATAATGCATGGAATTGTTACAAAGAGGGTGGTCTGGGGTGGTCAAGCACCGAGTTTGGGAGCAAAAATTAAGTCCCGTAGTACAGAGTCAGTCTAATGGCTGAACTGTGCCGACGTTTTCCACAGTAATGTCGCAATTTTCTTCAGAACATTTCCACTCAGAAAAGAGCTTAGCTTTCCAGACAGTCGTAAATAAAAAACTCGAGCATTTTAGTTTACATTTAGTGGCCTGTCATTCAAAGCCGCAGCGTCTTGCGTCGAATGGCTGCTGCAAATCTCTTGTTTTCATGGGGCGACCGTAAGCGGCTATGGCGGGTTCACCAGCTATGGCGTCGTAAGCTTCATGGGCCATCCCCGGTGAAAGGTCAGACTTCTCCGTTTTTGCAGTGCGAGGTCCATTAGCCGTGAAATGGAATGAAAAAGCATTGGTCAAAAGGCCGAGCGGCGATTTTTGGAGAAACCGAGAACTGCCCCGTTGCACCGCAGAAAAAGCTGATATAGATATCTGACACCAATGCATAGCAGGATATAATACATAGGCGACGGAACAGGGGGTGGGGGTGGGGGGCACCGGGGCACCATGTCCCCCCTTGATTTTGGCATTTTAACATTAGCCCTATGGGCGTTGCATGGAAAGAATGAGACCAAAAGTCGGCAGCGCCCCCCTTAATTGAAGGTGTTCCGCCGCTACTGATATAATATCTATAATAAACCAGACGGCACGGAGCTTCGATACCAAGCGGTGCTGCGGCGTCGGCGTCGTCAGGAAGAGGAGAGCACCCGTGCATAGATCTGGAGCGTTCGGAGTGGCAAAAAATGCAGTCAGTTGTGCAGCGCGCGCACATCTACGTACGCACGCACTGATGTGCCTTGGGCTGAACGTGAGTCTTTTCAACATCTTCGACTACCAACACTTGTGCGTCTAGCCCAGAACACCGAACCATCCGGACTATGGCCTCGAAAGAACAGTCAGACCTACTGCGCTGCATTCCCTCTCCCGTGCAGCACCGTCCCTCTCGGTGCGAGTACTGACCTGGGCCCGGCAGCCGGCTCCCGTCCCGCCTTCAGGTCATCCAGGATGCCCTCGATGTCCTTCACAGTCAGGTCCTCCTGAAACACAGACGGGCCGCGGCGGTCAGACAAACGTTTACAACAGGTATGCCGAGTCGGTCTCACAGATTGGACCGTTATTAACAAGAAACGAATGGCCAAGAGTCAGATTATATTGTGTATCCATGGAGCCTGACAATAGCCAAAGGCGACATAGGATCACAGAGTGATTACCCCCGTGCTGGGTACGCCGCTAGGGCACGCCAATGTTTGCCGCGCGGGTGCGAGGGTATGCTTGCCGCCTAGGCCATGTCTGCCACCCATGTCTGTCACCAGGGGGTGCCAAAGGGTCATGTCCACTATCCAGCGACTGAGGACGCCGAAGGGCTATTGTCCACCGTCAGGGTACCCCGCGCCGCGACTACGGCCCGAGGTGTATGTCGGCAATGTATTGCCTCCGATCGGCAGGCCGGTCCGGCGCCAGGACGGCCTGTTTGACCGGCCAGCAGCTGGCCAATCGCTCTCGGCACCGGTGGCTATCGCCACCTGCCCGCTGCATATCATCAGGAGTGTCCCAGCTGGCCCAGCCACCATCCCTCCCCTCTGTAATCTGCGCGCCGTCCGCGGAAATGGCTGTATCTACAGAGCGTCAAAAAAAAAAACAAAAAAAAAAACAGGGCAATATTGGTAATTGAAGATAAAAAACATGATAACAATAGCAAAAAGAATAAAAGAGAGTAAAAACATGATATTTTTCCGAAACGCATCTTATCGCTAGCTAAAATGTCACTGACCGGGTTCCTTACTATCATCACTCTGACTAGCAAACGTAAGTAGACATATATTTGCAAATGTCCCCCTTTAATCTGATGAAAACGCTGTAGCAGATACTACAGAACAAATATACATCACGTTGGATACCGTCAATAAGTTTTTCGGACACCCCACTAGATCGGAATGTTCCACATCAGATTCAACAGTCCAGCAGGTACCTGGTAAGAGCCACTGACTTCGACAGGCAGCTTACAGGGACACCTCGCTCCCGCTGACAGAAGCGCCAGTTCAATACGTGCCGTCTGCCAACGCAGACCTGACTCCGACAGGCACCTATCGAGGACCGCTGACTCCGACTTACATCCGACAGGGAGCCACTGCCTCTCGGTGACGGTGGATGGCTCTTACCCACGTTCGGCGCAAATTCACCACAATGCGGGTCCGAGTCTATTGAGTGCGCACTGCACAGCCCTTGCACCTCCCAACGGGAGACGTCCGATCCGAGCAATTAGCCGGTCCACTATCCGGCATCCATTTTAGAGTCAAGTGGCAGTCGATTGATAACCGGACCTTCCCATCCATCTTCCAACATTCACACAACAAAAACGGACCCGTCGACTGACCATTTATCCTCATTTGAATTGCAGCAGCCAGGCACCATAGAAGAAGATAATGCTTCAGCAGCTTGTATAATTTGTCCCAGAACGTCCACATTTGTCATCACACTTCCTGCACAGGCGCCGATCATTGAAAAAGGGTAATAGATCACCTGAGCTGTCTGGAGGCGACAAATAAAACGGACACCCCTGCTGCGACTCAATAGAAAGCTGATTTGCTGACTTTAAAAATGTCATTGCCTTTCGAAACTGTTCTAATCGGCGAAAACATCCTAGCATAAACAATGGAAAGCAAACTTATGAGAGCTGCCTAAAGGCTGAAAGAAACTCTTTCCGCAGTCAGAAAGAGTTTCTTCGAGAGCCTATTCGCTCGCATTAATCGCACGCAGGTAGCCCCTTGGTGATCCGCTTTTACCACTGCCTATGTATAACGATCTCGGGCTACTCTCCCACCCGATTCATCTGAAGACAGGTGGGCTTCCCGGCTACCCGGATGGACTGGCAGCGCGCTGTCAAAGTTCGCCCAAGCTCGTCCATCTCGGGACAAACTACAGTAGCCGGCTGCCGTACAACTCCGGGCGCGCCCAACTTTTCAACGCACCAGCTGTTACTCCTGGAAAGCCCGTGAAGCGACGCCCAACATGGCGCGGTAGTTTTCACCCCGCCCGGCACGACACGGCACTTCTCACAATGTGTGACAAGTTCTCACACTGCCCGGTGTGAAACAGTACTGCTCACACTGTGCGACAAGTTCTCACTGTGTCCGTTGTGAAACGGTACTGCTCACAATGTTCGACAAGTTCTCACTCTGTCGTTGTGAAACGGTACTTCTCACTATGTGTGACAAGTTCTCACTCTGCCCGATGTGAAACGGTACTTCTCACAATGCGCGACTAGTTCTCACTCAGTCCGGTGTGAAACGGTGCTTCTCACAATGTGTGACAAGTTCACACTCTGCCCAATGCGACACGAAACTGCCGGACACAGCAAGGTAGTTCTCACATTGTCGACACAGCACTTCTTACTGTGGCCAGTAAGGTCCGCAGTCACTACCAGACACGGTTCTCAATACACAACCACCAGAGATGGCGACATAGTCCTCCGTCTCGCCGGTGTATCAGTTGGAGAATAAAAAAGCGCCCCAAAATTATCCTTACTACATCCAGCGGTGAATGCGCTCTTAAAGGAATTCCCTCTAATCCAGCAGCTGCCAGGGCACTGGGCTATCCCGAGGACAGCGTTTCAGAGCTGTATCTCTCACAGCCGATGTCTGAGGGAAGTAATGGCCGCCGGATGTCGGATTAAACGGCACAGCTGGAGATAGACGGTCGGCGCAGCGACAGATAGACCCGACCAAGTACCGGGAGGCATGCGAGACACGAGATTGGGGAGTGAATTCTCCAGCAGGACTGAATTAGATGCATGGTACCGTAAGGCTGGAAACGATGCCCAAACTGCTTATTGATACAGCAAGGTAGTTAAAGATATGAAACTGTGACAAAATATAGATATATAGACCTCGTGGGCACTAGTGAATGGTAAAGTTTCGAGTTTGCGAGCAACTTCACAACAAAGAAGGCGAGACACAAACACGTTATAAATAGCACATTTTAAGCCTTGCTACACGAAACTTCAAGCTGCTTACGCAAGCGTCTAGACTTTGATAAAAAAAACAGCGCCTAAAGAAGATATTAGAGCGTGGGACACACGCGCCGCCATTAATCACATCACCAACTCATGCGAACACCCCAAAATGCACACATGAATAATAGCAAATAAATGCGCCATTAAATCACTTCCGAGCATAGCGTGATATCGCTCTTCATTATTCGCGGATAATTGTTACGGCCGGGCGGCCGTAGATATCGCGTCCAAAGACCAACTGCTCCCCGGAGAGGAACACTGCCCGCTCGGCGTGCGTCCATTCATCGTTTGCCAGGCGCGGCTGTTTACACGCCGTCGGCGGCGCAGCGGCGGCCAACGCGGCGCGCATCGATCGACGCGTTCCTTATTACGGCGCGCCGCCCGGGGCTGAGGGCGGAGGGCCGGGGGCTGAGGGGCAGCCCCGGGCGCCGGTGTGACCCATGGAGTGCTCGGCAGGTCCGGCGCGATTCAAGTGTTCGGTACACACCATCAGGTTACAGGCAGCCCCCCCCCCTCCCCGTTAGGCCGAAACCAAAGGCCAGCGGGACGCAACGGACAGCACACCTCACACCAGCAGAACCAAACAGGCAACAACAGGCTGCCATGTGTCACGCAATCCCGAAAGCGATTTGGCGAACATCAAACAGAAAGCAATGGACAATTTCCCACAAGGCCAAAGCTTTTCCAGACGTTCCCCAGCCCGTCAACAAAATACCACCACTGCAGCGGGCTGTTTTTCATCGCAGGAATTCAAATGTATGCAAATGTGTGCGGTCGATTTCGTAATTTTCTTCAGAATCGCTCAGAACACGGAGAATAAGCGATGCGGCGCGCCGTACCACAGTTATTGCTGTTCAAAGCTGCATTTGCCTGTCAGGGGTGACAGGCTCATTCCTGTCGATTGTAAATGCAAACGTGGCGCTGACCATATTTCACCAGCCCTAAAATGAAAAATTGGTGAAAGCAAGCGTCAAGTTTCCCCGCCATTTGCAAAGCAAATCGACGGAAGTTTTGCCATAAAGCAACGGAAACGCATTCGATATTCAATAATATCTCAGGACAGGAAACAGCAGTGCAGTAAGCGTGCCTACACCTGACACTGCTGAATCCAGAACATCTTGTAAAACTGAACGTCGCAAGGCGAGAGTGACGAAAGTATGATTTGCGTAGCCGGTAACAATAAAGTGGTTGATCAGTCCAACAATGAGATTGACTGAACAGTCATGATGCATACGTTTAGTGGATAAGCTTATGTAGGAGCTTATGTACTAGGGCTGACATTGAAGATGATATGAACTCATGTTTTTTAGCTCATAAAACGAAGATCAGTAAAAATCAGGACTACAGCTGCGATTATTTTCAGCGTGAACCATCTACCAAACAGCCCAAAAGAGACGGACATGATGTCGCTCAAAGCAGCACAGCAAAATACATCGTAGCTCTAGAGACCTTTCAAAGGCGTCCGTGCAACGGCGCCGAGAACTTTGGCTTGATAGAGTATATGGCATAAAGGCTGAACTACGGTCTGAAAGCCTGTGATTGAAGATATTTTTAGCAGTGATCAGCTCATATCAAAATTACGATCCACATCTTTGGTGATGAAAATACACAGAGAACACTATGATAAGACCATACAAGGTAGAAATTGACCCCAAGGATCCAAACAGTGGATTATTTATTGCAGGCAAACCAAGTGACACGAATTACACCAGCAGCACATTTTGGAAACAAACCGGACACTTTATCATTAGATGCAGACCGCTGCCCTAAAATATGATGTTGCATTTGTCAGTTCCACTTCAGCTCTGTGAACTTCGTACTGTGAGTCGCAATAACCCAACACATTACCCGGGCATATACGGGCGCGGACTGCAAATTATTGATGCGCCAATGCGATAACCGTGTCTAGCGCTGTGACGACTCATTGTAAGCAGCTCGTAACTGTCCATTCCATTGATTCCTCTCTATCGTCTTCTAGCCCCGCCCTATCGTCTTCTTGCTCGACGTTCGCCCACCATCGCCCGC